CCACATTTTCAACTTAGAATTCTCTTAGATTTCATTTCCTCTGCGCCATCACCCAGGGAGGCCGTAGCCATCTTCCTGGTAACCCCATCATGGAGGCGATGGGCGGAGGGGCCTGGCATCACAGCTGGGCCTGAGCTTGACCTAGAGACCAGGGCACTTGGAGGAGAACAACACCCAGCCCTGAGGGCGTTAGCATGGACCCAGGCGCCCTGTGACATGCACTTAGCACACACAGTGTGCTGCGCCCACCTCCTGCTGTTTCCCGTCTTCTGCTTGGCGCCCTGGCAGCACTGCCCTGATGGGCCACTCTCACCCCCATCATCCATCCTGCACCCCCTCCTGGGACCCAGGACTGGGTTCGAGGTGCCAAGTCGGCCTGCTTTCCCTCCAGCTGCTTCTGGGCCTGTTCAGGCCTCTGACCCCCTCAGACTTGTCCCTGAGTGAATGGATTGCCCTGTCGTGTGCCCCCCTCCCCCCTGAGTCACACAGGCACCTCCAAAGACCTCCTGTGTATCCACGCTGTGCCTGCTGGGAAGTTAATCACCATAAGGATGTCTTTGAAATGTTTGGCTTGGCTCAGTGGATAGAGCGTCAGTCTGCGGACTGAAGGGTACGAGGTTCGATTCCAGCCAGAGGCACATGCCTGAGTTTCGGGCTCGGTCCCCAGTTGGAGGGGCCTGCGGGAGGCAGCTGATCCATGTTTCTCTCTCATCATTGATGTTTCTATCTCTCCATCTTCCTTCTTCTCTAAAATCAATAAAATATATTTATATATATATATATATATATATATATATATATATATATATATATATATATTTTTTTTTTTTTTAAATGTTCCAACTTTCTTTAAAGAAAAAGCATCTGTGGACCTGGCTCCGCAGCTCAGTGCAGAGGCTGTGGCTGCCAGTGCTTGGAGGCCGGTGGCCACCAGCGGGGCTAGTATGAAGCCCGGGAAGCAGGAGGGTGCAGGTGCCCGCTGCCAGGGCTCCCTGGGCACAGCAGAGGCACAGCAGAGGCAGGAGGAGCAGCAGGTGGGCAGGACAGGGGCAGAATGGCTCCATGAAGACCCTGGTCCGGGAGAGACTGAGGAGCTGAGTCTTGTTGGTTTGGGGCAGTGGTCGGCAAACTCATTAGTCCACACAGAGCCAAACATCAACAGGACAACGATTGAAATTTCTTTTGAGAGCCACATTTTTTAAGCCTTAAACTTCTTCTAAGGCCACTTCAAAATAGACTCTCCCAGGCCGTGGTATTTTGTGGAAGAGCCACACTCAAGGGGCCAAAGAGCCGCACGTGGCTTGCGAGCCTCCGTTTGCGGACCACGGGTTTGGGGGAAGGTGCAGGGTCCCACCAGGTGGAATGTCTTTTCTTGCACATCACGAGCAACAGGATGCATCTGGGAGAAGGGGCTCATCAGCCCAGCCCGCCCCGTGGTCGCTTAGCAACGGTCTCTTTCCCCTTTCCCAGCAGGTCCCAAAGGGCCGTCTGAAGGTGGGGAGGCAAGGGGTGGATTGAGGTAAGATGCCTACACGTTCTGCATAATAATTGGACCTTTGGCCCCATTGTGCTGCTGCTGGCACCTGCCTTGCAAATGAATGAGGCGCTTAAGAAAACATTCATTTTCCTCATTAGGAATTCGTTCCTAAGTCTCTGAGAATTGATGTTTACCTACAAGAGGCTTGGGCTTGTGGGTGTCTGTGTGTATTTCCAGGCCTCAGGAGGGTAAGTGGGTGAATGGAGGGTGAACCCACAACTCAAGCACAGAAGTCAGCCTTCCCCCCCCAATCCCTCTGGAAATTGGGTGGGGAAAGCCCTTTTTCCAAATTGTCCTCTGAGACCCTGTAGAGGCTGAAAGAAATAATATAGAAAAATTCCCCTGCTAGCCCAGACTTCCCGTGAGAATGTGACCTTTAGAACTGCCCCAGGAAAAACAGGGTATGAGCCACACAGCACCAGACCACCAGACTCAGCCCCTAGAGCACATGTGTCAAACACAAGGCCCGCGGGCCAAATCCGTCCCGCCAGGCCTTGCAATGTGGCCCGCACCGCGCTGTCATCACTGCACTCCGCTGCGTTTCCATCACAATGACAGTTTATGACTGTTCAGTAAACCATTCGGCCCACGATTTAGGCTGGATTTTAGATTTTGGCCCCTTCTCTGATTGAGTTCGACACCCCTACCCTAGAGGTATTATCAACACAGCACCAGACCACCAGACTCAGCCCCTAGAGGTAGTAAACTGGATGTATTATCAATGTCCTGCGGCGGTTCCACCCTGTTTCTTGTGATAATGTCTATCCTCCCCTCAAGGAATTCCTGTCCCTCTTTCTGGAAGACCCCCTCCCCTTGTCCTTTGTTCTAACTTTGCGGTTTTTGCCTTTATAAGCCTGTAAGAAGTTCTGCTCGGGACTTGACTTGGCTGCTCCTGTGAGTAACAGGTCAGGCCCCAGCGCGCTGGAATAAACCCTCTTGCTGTTTGCATCAAGTGCCGTCTCTTGCGTTTGACTGGGTCGTCGCTGATCCTGGGTCAGGGCAGGGGTCTCCTTCGGGGGGTCCAACAACCCCAATGCCTCTCCTGCTGAAGCCTCTGAGAGCTCCAGCCATTGGAACAGCCTGAGTGCCAGCCCTTGGTGCAGACACCAAGCTGGGCAGGAGCCAGTAGAGCCACCACTGGTGATCCAAGGGAGGGACAATTGACATATCCATCCCCTCCCCAGAGTTCACACATCCTAGCCCCCCTGGAGAGCTGCTCTGGGGGGTGGGGGGTGCTTCCTCCTCTCCAACCAAGGACTCTTCGAGCTGGTGCCCCACTCAGCCTTTTCTGAAAGCAGGGCCAGACCCCCATGCTCAGGGCGCATTTCCATGGCCCCACAACCCACTGGAGGGATGCTCACCATCGGGAAGGGGTGAGCCTGGGGCTGGGAGGCACCCTGAGAGGTAGAGTGGATACCCCAAAATGTGGTAGAGGGCCACACAGTGGAGAGGGAAGAGATACTTTTGGGGACAGGGAGCAAGGATGGCAACAGCGCACCCACAGGAGACCTTCTGGGAAGGAAATGTCATGGTTAGCACAAGCGTTGACTCTCTCTTCTTTCCCCGTGGTCCCGCTTGCTGCTCCCTGGATTAGCTCCCCGACAATCAAACTGCACACGGAAATGCTAGTGAGACGTCTTACTTACAACCGCTCTATTCCTTTTCCTTTGCAGTAACAACTGATTATACTTAAGTGTTTGAAAATAAAATTTCCTGCATGGTGATGACAAGCAGAGGGGGAGGTAGATGAGAGTAAAGGTGGGGGTGGGGGGAGATACATGGTGATGGATGGTGACTTGACTTGGGGTGTTGAATACACACAATACACACAATACACACAATACAATATACAGATGAGTCCTAACCGGTGTGGCTCAGTGGATAGAGCATCGGCCTAAGGACTGAAGGGTCCCAGGTTCGATTCTGGTCAAGGGCATGTACCTTAGTTGCGGGCACATCCCCAGTAGGGAGTGTGCCGGAGACAGCTGACTGACGTTTCTCTCTCATCCATGTTTCTAACTCTCTACCCTTCTCCCTTCCTCTCTGTAAAAAACCAATAAAATAATATTTTTAAAAAATATACAGATGATATAGTATAGAACTGTACACCTGAAACCTAGATCATTTTATTAACCAATGTCACCCCAATAAATTCAATGAATAATATAATAAAAGAAAAACACTTCTATTCACAATAACATAAGAAATAACTTAAAATAACTAACAAAGTTAGCACAAAATTTGTATCCTGAAGAAAAAAAAATTCCTTTTTTCTTGTAATTATGCACTTGTTTCTACTCGCTCCTTCCTGTGGGAATCATGCCGCATTGAGTCTGTGCAATCAGGGGCGTCCGAGCCACTGGCCACACCCCACTGGCCACAGTGCCCGGGGTGGGGGGGGGCACTCCGCAGCCCTCCTGCTCTTCCCATCCCGTGGGTTCCTGTAGATGGGTCACCCAGTATCATCTTGTGTGGTCATCAGTGGAGGAAATAGACAGTGAAGAGATGTGTGGCCTCTTCGTATCCACCCCCTGTTACTCCCTGAGCCCAGAAGGGCAGCTTCCTATTAGACTGTTTTCTGATGTTCTGGTGCAGTGATCGGCAAACTCATTAGTCAGCAGAGCCAAATATCAACAGTACAAAGATTGAAATTTCTTTTGAGAGCCAGGATTTTTTAAACCTGAACTTCTTCAAATGCCACTTCTTAAACATAGACTCGCCCAGGCCGTGGTATTTTGTGGAAGAGCCACACTCAAGGGGCCAAAGAGCAGCATGTGGCTTGTGAGCCGCAGTTTGCCGACCATGGCTCTGGTGGTACCTGTCGGGGTGTGTTGGTGAGAAGAGACCTCCTCTCTCTCAGTGTAAGAGGGAGAGAGAGAATACCAGGGCATCAAGTGGGAAGGAGGAGAGAAAGCTGCTATGTGGGTACGTCGGTTTTCACGAATGTTTACTCAATGCCAAGTGTGTGCCAAGTACATCACATCCATTATCTCACTCCCACCCCAGGCCTCTGAGGGTGAGAGGCTAGGGACTTGCCCCGGGTGACATGGTTGGTGTCGCAGGGCCTGGCTCCCACTCTGCTTTGCGTTACAGTCTCTGCTCCTGAGCCCTCCATTGTGCTGGGATCAGGGGGACAGCTGAATGGCCAACGGACAGTCAGGTCAGCCTGACCCATGGCCACAGAATGAATCACGGAGCAGAAGAAACTCTGGAGGGGCTCCGGGGGGGATCCCCAATGGCCCGACGTGGGAGCATGTAGCCCTGGTGCATGTGGGCTCAACATCACACGGCCAGCCTGAGCCAACTGGGCTTCCGACTCCAAGTCAGGGCTCCATCAACAATCCCAACAATCTCTCTTAATTAGTGTCACACCCCCCCCCCCCCCCCCCCCAGTTCAACATCTCTGGTTTACTGCCACGCCTACTCCTGTTGGATCCGGTTCCAAAGTAAACTGTGTTCTTTGAGAGCCGCTGCATACAGATGAGTAGGCAGCCAGTCCGAGCTGACCCACAGGCTCATAAAAACCAACGGGGCCTCGGGCACCCTCGCCTGGGACACCCAATTTCTCGGATCAAAAGTGCCAGGGACCTGCTCACAGCAAGGACCCAGCTGCTTTCTCGGGGACCAAGACATTGAGTTTTTGTCTCAATATTTACTCAAGCAGCCCATGAGGTAAGGGGGTGAAATGCCTCGGTGCCCCTTTGTAGAAAGGAATTAATTCCGCTGGAAAGGTAGCCCCTTTTCTACCATCTCAAATGGAAACATTCCCAGGGGGGTAAAGGCTTGGCTTTCACTCACTCACTCACGGGATGCTCTGGTCCCATGTGGGTTATGAGCCCAGAGCTTCCTCTCCCAGCCCTGAGCTGAAGGGCCCTTGAAGCCTCTGGTTGCCTCATGCCTGGTGCCAGCTCCTCTCTTCTTGGTGGTACACGGGTGTGTAGGTAGAGCGGCTGTCCCTGCTAGCATCTCCCAATGCTGCAAGACCTTGAATAATAGCAGAACCTCTCTCAGGCCTTTTCCATGGGTAAGGGGGAGGGTTCAGGTATCGGTGGGGTCTAGTAGAGAAAAGGCTTAAGACTCACCTGGGCGCAAGGTGTTATTAAGACATTTCACTGGCCTCCGTCAAAATGCCTGTCCTTCGTTTTGTGTGATGCTGCGTGATGCCCAGTGCATGCATTTGGATTTCCCAACATTTGCTCAGCCCCCTGAATCCTGCTGGGACAGCGAATGCCACTGTTCTATGCTCTGCTTTGTGTGAGCCCCAGAAGGAGCAGGCTCGGAGCCTCGTTCTCCCAACACGTCTGTCTTGTAGGTTCAAAGAAGTGTGTCTATTGGGAATGGCAAGCTGAAGGAGAAAATGTGTGTGTGTTTTTTCCTTGAGTGGAGCATCCAGAATGGAGCGGGACATAGTGACTGTGGTAAGGAGGCCGTGGTAGGCGAGGATGTACACAGCCCGGCCGTGGGTGCCTTTCAGACATGAGTGCGGTCTGGGTTGTCCTACAGGGTTGTCCTACTCTGCCTTGTTCCGTGAAAAGGTAGCTGCACTAAGTCCACTAAGATCTCCCAGGAATGATGGGGTAGGGGCATCTGGGAAGGGATGAGCCAGCAGCAGAGCTTTTTGGAGAGAGGGGGGTGTAGGGATGAAGTTGTAAAGAAGCACAGTGAGTGAGTCACTTGTGGGTGTTCTGGGAGCGCTGGCTGTTGATGGCACTTGGTGAAAAGTATGTGATGCGCTATGATTGCCAAGCATGCTCTGCTCCGCGGAGCTCAGACTCGGGGTTTCTCATGCACGTCCCTGTCGTTGGCTCAGCAGTTCATTTTCTTGGCTAGGTTACTAGGTCACCTGGACCTTTCACAGCTCAGAGGGTTCCCAGAGGTTCCACTCTGTCTCCAATGCTTTGCCTTTTCCCATTCCCTGGCCTCCACTGACCCCAGGTTTCCTAACGCCTCAGAGTTCCCACTGGATGGCTTAGGTGTCTCAGCACTTTGATTCTGAGTTTGACCCCAACATTCACTCCTCCTGGTTCTACCATTTAAGACGCTAAGGATGACTACTGTCTTTCTTCTCTTCCTGATTATCCTTCTATTGATGCTATTATTTTTCATGCAGGGTTTTTCCTTCATTTTCCTTTCAACAAACTTATAACGAGCACCCGCTGTGTTTTGGGAACTGCTCTAGTTCCTGGGCCATGATAGAAGAGCCCCAGTCTTCCTAGCAGTTACAGTTTAGGGGGAATGTTCTGGAAATAGGCTCTGACCCTGGCAGGGTAAACACCGTGATGAATGGGGCTGTTATACTTCAATGTAGTCATGATGGCATCATTGCACTCACAGGAAGGACATCCTACATTGCCTACGGCCAACCTCATGGAAGTCTGATCCTAAAATCTCAGAGTAGGCAGGATGGGGCCTGGTGGGGGCAGAAGGCCAGGGCATTTTAGAACAAACAAATGGCATTTACAAAAGCACGGAGGCACGAGAGAGTGTGACATGTACAAAGAATACTTGCTGGGGGTGGGAGGCACGGGGAGGGATGAAGAGAGATGAGACAGGAGAAGCTGAAGAGCGAGGCCATGCCATGAAGGACCTTGTGTTCGATGCTAAGGAGGTTGGTGGTAGTGGAAAACCGGGTAAGGTCCTATTTTTAAAAGGTTGCTTTGTCTGCAAAGCACAAGGTAGACCATTGCTGGGGAAGCCAAGTAGGAAATTGCTAGGAGGCAGAACACACAGGATCCAGTGGCAGACTGGCTGCTAGGATGAAGCGTGGTCCTGAAATACACACCCGAGAGTGGAGTGACCTCATTCAGGAAGCTTCTCCAAAGTCCAAGGGATGAACAAGCTTTGAATGGAAAAGAGCATTTTCTTTGCATTGACCCCGGTCCTCCTCTCCCATATCCACCATGGCCTGTTGGCCCCAGTGAGATGAGTAGATAGTCCCCGGATGTTACGGGGAGTCAGGGATTGCGTGGGGCAGTGAGCTAGCTTTCAGCTGCCGCCTCCTCCAAAACAAGCCCACGGCCACTTGCTTTTCTGCACCTTTGAAATGCATGCATATCGGGGGAAGGAGCCTTTTTCTTCTTTTTCTTTATCCTCACCGGAGGATATTTTGCCATTGATTTTTAGGGAGAGTGGAAGAGAGAGGGAAAGACCGAAAGAAATATCAATGTGAGAGAAACACATCAATTGGTTGCCTCCTGCATGCGCCCTGACCAGGGCCTGGGAGGAGCCTGCAACCCAGGCATGTGCCCTTGACCGGAATCAAACCCAGGATGCTTTGTTCCCTGGTATGATGCTCTATCCACTGAGCCACATTGGCTAGGGCAGAAGGGGAATTTTCAGCACAGTGCGCATGCATCTCTTTCCCCTGAGTGCCTAGACCTTAGATGAGGCTGAGGGTGTCAGTGTCTCTGTCCATATGGCGCCTCTTCAGGCGCACTGGGGGAGCTCTGAGCTGAGGAAGCTGAGCCAAGTCCCACAGGCAGAAAGAGGCAGCGCTGGGCCGCAGCCGCGCCTCTGTCAGACCCCAGTGTCCTCCACACATACCCCCTTCCACTTGGCAGATGTGGCAAGAGTTCTTAAAATATTAAACTCGATCACGCAGTTCAGAATATCTGGAAAAGTCAGCACTTTGGGGTTTAGCTTCTGACCTACTTCAGAGGAGCCACGCTAGCCACATTGCTGTTAGTGCTATAGGGCCCGAGAAGACAGAACGCCAGAATACGCATTGTGTTGCTAGCTCAAGTCACTGTGAGTGCATTTGTTGGCACAAAAAGCAAAGTCTGCTCAATAATTAATTGAGGGCGGTTGACCACAGCAATCAGTTTTAAAGACTCCTGTTTCCCACCTCGCTCTTCTGTATGGCCGTTGGGCATTTTCCAAAGTGGGGGTGATGGGCCGCTTGAGAAGGGGTTTGAGAGAAAGCCATCTGTATACGCTTGGGGGCCACTAAGATCATGCTGATTTTACAGGTTGAGGAAAGGAAGTACAGAACTGTGTCCTGACTGGGTAGCTCAGTGATGGAGCATCGGCCCACCGAAGGGTCTCGGGTTTGATTTCCAGTCAAGGGCATGTTCCCAGCTCCTGTTAGAGGTGTGGTGGGAGGCAACCAATCAATGTGTCTCTCTCTCATCGATGTTCCTCTATCTCTCTCCCTTCCCCCCTCCCTTTCACTCTCTCTAAAAATCAGTGGAAAAAATATCCTTGGGTAAGGATTTAAAAAAATATTAATAAGCCCTAACCAGTTTGGCTCAGTGGCTAGCAGGCATCCTCAAACTTTTTAAAGTGGGGGCCAGATCACGGTCCCTCAGAGAGCTGGAGGGCCGGACTATATGAACTACTAATTCCTACTGTAACACCTCGGCTGCGCTCACTGCCCAAAAAACCTGGCGGGCCGGATCAGACTCCTCTGTGGGCCGCATGTGGCCCGCGGGCCATAGTTTGAAGACCCCTGGTAGAGCATCGGCCTGCGGACTGAAGGGTCCCAGGTTCGATTCCGGTCAAGGGCATGTACCTTGGTTGCGGGCACATCCCCAGTAGGGAGAGTGCAGGAGGCAGCTGATCGATGTTTCTCTTTCATTGATGTTTCTAACTCTCTATCCCTCTCCCTTTCTCTCTGTAAAAAAATCAATAAAATATATATTTAAAAATAAGAAGAAGAAAAAAGAAACAAAACAAAACAAAGAAAGCACAGAACAGTGATGACTCAGTGTAGAGCCAAAAAGGAGAAGGCCTGAGCCATTCTCAGTCCGCTGTCTCCTGGAATATGCATGACTCCTGAATAATATGAACTACACTCTAGATGGCAGAAAATGGTTGGCTGGATTATGTCTCTCGTAGATTTTTCTGAGCAAGCAGGGAGTGTGTGGACATTGGGAACACAAAACAAAGCCTCTCCCAAAAAAGGGATGAGGGAAAAATCAGAGTGGAGATAGACAGGTGGGAGTCGCCTAGAAAAGTGAACCAGAAACAAACCAACAAACAAACAAACAAAAACAACCTGAAGGTCAAAGGGGTCACTGGAGTTGGTTCTCTGCCGGGTTTATTATAAAGGACGTTCAGAGGTTGAATGTTGCCATCCTGGCCATTACCTTGTCAGAATGCATGAGCAAACACCGGGAGAGAAGCCCATACACACGGGACTCCTGGCCTTGTTTGAAAAGAATAGCAGAAAGCAGCAAGAGAACGCAGACAAGGGCCCCCCTCAGAGCTGTTGGGAATCCAAAGATGCTGCACCCCAAGCAGTGGCTCCCCGAAAACTCTTACAGAGGGCTCAGCATCTTCATAGAAAAAAATTCAACCCAACATCATCCCATGAAAATGCAGAGCACTGGGGTTACTGTCCAGCAGTCATTCTAAGGGCTCATCAGCTCACTCATTGCACAGGTGGAGAGACCGAGGTCTAGACAAATCCCATGACTTGCTCGAGGACTCGAGGAAAGATAGAAACCCGAATTCACCAGTATCTCTTCGGAGCAATCACTCCACGAAGACTGGTGTTTTCCTAAATCCATTCCCGTGTGCTCACGCACGTGCCCCTGCCTGCCATGCTCCATCCTGCAGTTACCAAGCCTGGTAAACATTGCTTCTGTTGGGCGCATGTCACCCACCTCCCCCTCTGAGAGCAGATGCCGTTGATGCTCTGGGAGAGTATGAGCCTCGAAGTTCAAGTCCTT